TTCGACGAAGGTGACCACTTTCTGTCCTGCGCGAGGCTGGCCTAGGGGGCCAATCTCTGGCTTTGATCTCAGAACCTGAACTCTTCTCCAGTCTTCTTTCAGAATGACTGCTCTCCATTCTGTAATAGTTAGGTGGCCTGGACTCATATAAGGGCCTCTTGCCTTTAGCATGCATTCTATCAACTGCAGGCTCAACCACTAATGGCTGCTGCCTAACACTAGCCGGATACGGCCTTTTATTATAAGCATTGGTTGGTTTGGGACGCCTCTGCACATCCCTGTAATATTGCTTCCCATCAACTGGAAGGTATTTCAACCACTTATAACTCAGTCTGCACCTGGGACACATCATCTGCATTACGACTGCCTCTAGGGAATCATCATCCAGTGCTTCTTCATCAGAGTCTTCCCTCTGGTGTGAGAAATCTTGTCCAATAGCTGGTTAATTTCTGATGTCCTTTTTGGTAGTTGTCTGATTGGCAATATGCATCTGCACATTGACCTCTTCTAATTCCTGCAGAGATAAATTCTGGAAGTTTGGTACAACAACATTAGCTGCGCTTTCTCCAACCTTTGGAAATGGATTACTATCGATCCCCATGGCCTTTTCTGTTTTGGCTGGGAATTTCAAACTTCCTTTCTGAATCTGTTCTTGGATCCTGTCTCGAAAAATAATGCAGTTTTTAATCAAGTGAGACCAAGAGTTATGCCATTTACAACAGACTTTTCCCTTAAATTTATCTGGAGATGGAAGTTTTACTCCTTTTGGTAACTTAAGGAAGTTGGCCGCAAGCAAATGATCAAAAATGTCATCTGCCTTAGTTAAATCGAAAGAGTACTTCCTATGAAGGTCTTTCTTTTTAAACTGTTGATCAATTATTGTATCCTTATGAATTAATGCTTCATAGATTACAGGTTCTTTCCCCACAATCTCTGCTGCATCGATCTCATAATTAGGATCTCTATAGTATGTCTTGTATGATGCATTATTTCGATCCTGTTCCTCCTCTAGTAATGTTTCATACCTAGACACCTTGTAGGTTAGTTTCACTAGGTCTCCGAATTCAGTTGAGTCAAACTTCTTTCGAAACCTGAATTCTAAGCCATTTTGGACCAATCTTACGAATTCTGGCTCTGGCAGGATAACTCTACATTTATTTCGAGCTCTTTTAAATCTGGCAATAAACTGAGTAGCCTTCTCTTCAGGCCTTTGACTCAATCTTGCCAAGTCTGCCATGGAAACTTCTGGCTCCGATTGGAAGAATTGGACATGAAATGCCTCTTCCATTTGTTGCCAAGTCTGAATGGAGCCAGGTGTAAGGTTAATGTACCATACAAATGCTCCCCCAGTTAGAGAGTTTGGGAATAGTCTCAACTTCATATAGTCATGATTAGTAAATTCACCACATTGAGCAGCAAACCTAGCAATATGCTCTAGTGTTGATTGGTTTCCATTCCCACAAAAAAGGACAAAATCTGGTATCCTGAAACCTCTTGGGTATTCATGTACCTTATCGACCTATTCTGGGTATGGTTTTCTGTACACAGGAGTTTGGACCCCCCGAGCCATTGGTCCACACATCTCCATGACAATATCAGCAATTTAGTCCCTAGGGACCATATTTTGTGCCTGCTGAACCACTACTGGGGGGACAAACACAGGATTTGGTGGACAAACTTGTACTTGTGGTCCTCTTGGTCCATAGGGTGGTACATTTGTGACTGGTTGTCCCTGTGGTACAGGTTGCTGTTGGGGGTGTGGGTAACCCCTTTGAGCCTGTCTTGTGAAGAGACTTGCGAAAGGTGCTGGAACAGGTGTTGTGTCCCTTCCATTTGTGGGAAAACCTTCCAACCCCCCGGGTATAAATTCGAATAAGGGATTATTGTACCCCCTAGTGCCAGGTATGGCTTCGAACGTGGGATTTGGAACCATTCTTATGCCATTTTCTTGTACTAGGCCAGATCCACCAACTTGCATGGCTTCACTGTTAAACATTGAGGCATTTTGGCCTGCTATAGGCCTCGAAATGGGTTCACACCAAGACTGAGGTGGTGGTCTTTCATAATTCTGATTACTAGTTTGACCACTAGAATGTCCATTAACTTGCATAGGCTGTTTATCTCTAGTTAATCTTTGCTGAGGGACATTTACTTCCTCTATGTGCCTTGCATTTGTTGGTTGGTGGTTATTCATTCGATCCAAAATGGATGTTGCCCACCTTTCCATTGTGTTCATTAATTGCTATCCCATGGCATCTACTAGGCCATCCCATGGATTTATTGGCTGAATAGACGGAATAGTGGATGGTCCAATTCCTTGGTTCGTCCGATACTATGAACATGTGGTTCTTGCTCTAAAGTGCTGGTCTGTTTGACCATAGGTTCTGATAAAATAAGAGTTTTCACAGGATGTGTTATCACATTATCCCCTGGATTAGGTATTTCTACCTCTCCTTCCACGCCCTCTTCCAAGCGTTCATTTTCCCTTTGTCTCCTACGTTTAGCCATTTCAATTGGTCCCACCGGGCGTGCCAAAAATATATGTTGGCTTTTTGGCTTTCAAAGGTTATTTTTTGTAATTGCGAGCGTGCCAGCAAGAATTAATCAGTCTTTACAGAATTTTAATTGCCAACCAATTATCAGACGATTGTGTCGTAGTTCTTTCAGCCTCAATTAAGAGGATTTTTACTGGTGGCTTGATTTAGGAGAATTTAAGCACAAGAACAGTTAAATAAAGAACAATTGAAGTATTTCATTAGTATGAAAAACTTACAATGATCCAAACTCAGCCTCGTAGAGGTTTACAGCGACAATCTACTTGAAACTACTCCTATGAATGAAGTGCAGTGTAGGAATTTAAAGTACATGAATGTAAAGAACAGGAAATGTAAAGACTGGAAATGTAAAACTGGAAAGAAAAATATGTAAAGTAAGACTAGTTTGTTGGATCTGAGTCTGGGGGCTTTTTCTGGGGCCTTCCTTACTATTTATACTCCTCAAAGATGACCATCGAACTGCACTTCAAACCGTCGAACTGCTCATCTGTGATCGCTGATCATGTTGCTTTATAAGCAGTTCCACTACGCCATCACTTGCAGTTAGGCTTCCCTCCTATATTTGAATTTGGATGTGACTAACCGTTGAAGTCACGTCACCTTGTATCTCTTTGCTGATCCAATGCCACTCGGACTACGCAATAAACAATATCAACTGCCACGTGTACGATCATGATCAAAGACTTAAACATTCTTCCAATATAACCCTTATTCTGCCACGTGTTGAATTGTAATTGGCTTTTACAAAATATGTAGCCAATAATTTTGTGAGTCTACACAATGAAATCTATCAAATAAGACCAATATTGAATACAAAATTTTACAAAAATAAAATATTATTTTTTTAGTTATAGTAAACCAAAAATCTCTCACTTTGTAAGCAAAAATTCTTAGTTTTAAATATGAAAAAAATCAAAAAAAAATTAGACCAAAAAATGTCATTAGTTAAATAAGTTAAGAAAACTTACTATTAAAAATAGTTTAAATTGTAAATTTATAATAAAAAATAATATTTTTATTTTTATATAATTTTGTCTTTAATATTAATCTTGCTTGATAGATTTCATTGTGTTGATTCTAAAAATATAAATTTTATAAAAAAAAATGAATATTGTATAAATGATGATGATTTGAAGTTTTAAAAACCAAATAAATGTCATATTACCATACTTTTTTTTTATTATAAATAATTACAAATGATAAACAACCATTGTTTGAAGAATAATTTCGTCAATTAAAAATTAATGAGATTTGAAGGAGTAAAAAATATTATCTATGACTTAATGGAAGTTCACAAAATGAGACTTGTGTATAAATATTCCAAAAAATAATAATAATTTTCACTATACATTTTACATATTTTCTCACAAACATTGATTTTACAGGCGAGACATAATGGCTCATTTTATTAAAATAGAGAGAGTGTGTGTTCACCTTAGCTCGGACATCTAATTATCAACAAAAATAAATAAATAAATAAATAAATCTATTTATTGTGTGTTGCAATTTTTTTTTTTGTAATATTTTATTTATTGAAAGCACCATCCTGATAATATCATAAAGTAGTTGGGTCTAACTAATATTTTTGGTTCTATTCAGATTGACGGGGTTACAATTAAAGAAAGACTTGTGGAAGCAGGAAAGCTTACAATAGTATTTGATTCCAAGTACAGTGTTTTCATTTTTCTCCTTTTAGAAGGTACAAACGAATAATCGTATAATCATATATGTTTATGTTCTTTATCTGCTACTTTGCGTTAATTATTCTTTACCTTCCGACAAAGAGTTAACCAGAAACCCAAAGGAACTAGATTTTGGAACATGCTGTTTTGATTTGTGAAGCTCATCACGGAACTCAATTATTCAAATTGTTTATTTTTTAGACTATAATGTGTAGATCATTCATTTGATTTTTTATATGAATGATCTACTTTGTCTAAAATAGTTACCATTATTAAATTGATTTAATTTGTTACATGTAGAATTCATATGTGATCTAAAAAATAAATTATTTAAATCATGTGAGACTCGTGGTGGACCTTGCTAAAATAGTATGATACAATCCACTTTGGATCCAAAACTAAAACGGAAAAGAGAAGAAACAGGATGCTTGAACAAGGATGCTCAAAAGAATATTGAAAACAGTTTATCTTGTTAGTATGGACGGTGATTCTGATTGTAAAATTTTCTAAAATTGTATTTGGATCATGTATTTAGATAACAATTTAGAAACAAAAATTGAAATGGAGAAAAAAATTAATTTATATTTTATTTATATTTCTCCTACTTTTTTTAGTTTCATTTTCAACTTTTTTTAAAATTCATAATCTAAATCAATCTTAAAGCAAAAGAAAAAGAAGAAATTTTCAAAATAAATACTATATTTTGTTCATAAAAAAGAGCTGAACTCCTCTCCAATTCAGGACTTTGATACATCATTGGTTAGTAATATCAAGTGAACAATGTCATATGCTATTTGGAGACTACGGAACATTTATCCGCCGTAAAATCTTTCTTGACATCCAAGCAACACAAATTCTGTGTCCCTGATTTCTTTTGCTATATATATATATATATATATATATTTATGGATCTACTACTGACACGTTAGGCAGGTACCTTCATTGTTAAAAATCTGTCAAAGAATTAACAATGGCAATGGCGGCACTATCGAGTGAGAAGGAGAAAATTGATATGGACGAGTTGGTAAAATTAATTAGTGTGAATGCAGGGGCGTTTAGCTCTGGTGTCATAAAAAATGATTGGAATGAGGTTTTGAAAATTTACGAGTCATTCGATTGTCCAGAAGATTTGCAACGTATGAAAATCACTCGATCTGAGGAGAGAGCATTACACATGGCATTACAAATGACAATGAACAAAAAGAAAGAAAATTTTGCAACTTTCCGAGAAAAAAGAGAGAAAGTTGTCAAGAAGCTGATTGAAGGGCTGCAGAGTGTTCCGCTAGACGAATTAGCAGATAACAGAGGGAACACACCTCTCCATGTGGCTGCAAAACTGGAGGACCAGCAGAAAATGTGCATTTACATGGCTCATACGCACCCTGAAGGTATCGGTGATCGTAACCATGAGAATGAGACACCACTCTTTTTGGCAGCTCTCTATGGTTGTAAAGAATCTTTCATTGCTCTCTCTGATATCTGCTGCTCCAATCACGGCCTCCGCAAAATCTACGAATATGGCAGAAGGAGCATCGATGGCAGCACTGTCCTTCACTGTGCTGTCAATGAAGAGTACTTTGGTAATATCTATATATATACTTTATTAGTATTATTATTATTATTAAATGATGATTTTGGAGTTATATATATATATATATATATGTTAATACTATGAGTTTGGCAGATTTGGCATGTGAAATAATTTTTAGGTTTCCAGAGTTTGTTCACCAAGTTGACCAGAGAGGATACTCTCCTATGCATCTATTAGCTAGGAAGCCCTCAGCATTCAAAAGTAGTTGCCCACATACTTGGTGCCAATCAATCATTTATCACTGTAAGCATCCTTGCCAAAGCACTACTCAAATCCTAATCAATGGCCACTAATTAATTAATCTTTTTTTTCCCCCTAGCTAGGATACTAGTTGATAGAACTAGTTTCCCATTGGATTGGAGCATGCTAATAAGCTTTTAAGTTTTATTTTATTTTATTTTATTTTTGCAAGGTGTACCAGAAAAGATTTTGAGGGTGAAGAAAGTTATGAATCATTCAAAAAGTAAGTACATGCATACATCAGAGGAGGGGTAGGTAGGGAGGGAAGTGATCGAGTGTGTTTGGGTGTATGTATCTAGAGTAATTATTGGATACTCTTAGAGCACTGCATAAATGCGTTACCATTTTTTATTTTTTATTTTTTTGTGGGTCTATTTAACTGACATGGTAGTAGGCTCTCTGTCTCTCTAGGCATATGAAGAAATTTATCATCAATGGACAAGTACAAAAAATTTATTTTTTTTTTTTTTTTTTTTTTTGTTGATGTAGGATAAGTTTTTAGAAATTTTTATATTTATATTATTTGCAGATTAGATTTTTATATTTAGTTTTCAGTAGTCTTAAATTTTTAATTTCCTATTATGGGGGACAAGAGTCAAAATTGAGATCACATGTGAAACCAAGGATAATCATTCAATCAATAATATTTTCAAGAATAATCATATTTTCCTCATAGATTCTAGGTTGTTTTCTAATAGAGTCAATAATTCCATTTATTAGAACGATATCTACTCATTTTCTCTATTGCTGCTATGCCATTTTCGTACAAGAGTTTGTCATTTAATTTGTAAATTAAGAATATATAAATCCCATGAGTAAATTTACTCTAATTATCATAATATACTATCATTCACTGTTAAATTATTACTCTATTTGGATAGGAGCTCGAGCTGGGAGGATAATAAATTTTGTCCTGAAAAAAATAGTGGTGATTCTAGAAATGAAAGAGAAGCATCGGAGTTCTATTAAGCTCATGAACATGCTTCTTCGCGAAGTTTGGGTATGTAATTATACAAATACTGGAGGCAAACCTACATCGGACTCTGAGAATGCCAACATTTTGGAGATCACTAGAATCTGGAATGAGAGCCAAAATCAACAAGAACAAAACGGTAATCTTTGTCCCAGTTAGTTGTTCCTTTTCTGTCTGTGTCTAGATTTTTTTTTTTTTTTTTGCACAACAATAATCATGTCATTGATGTGGCAATGTTGCTAAAATTTGGTGCCAGATAACCAAGCTTCCTTGGAAAGCAGTCAAAAGAACAAAGAAGAGCAAGGTATTTCTTGTCCCCTTTGCTCTCACTTTTCAATAGAGCTCATTATTATTATTGGTTAAAAAGCTCTAACATTCAGAATCCAACCATCTATTGAAAGACCAGTACTGAAACATAACATGACTGTATTTAAATGCCTATTTTCCAAATGCTAGAGCATCACTTGTTTTATAACAAAATTATTATTTCAAATAATTGAATTGTAGAATTCAGGAGGCATTCAATCCCATGACTTTTTTGTTGGTTTGTTTTTGTTTTGACCTAATAGGAAAATATAATTAATTTTTTTCTTACAGCAATAATTGATCTTTTGATGTCTCATTAGTTGAGAGTGAACTAGAGTGACTAATCCCATGACATTCCATGACATTTATCCCATTGACTTCAGTCATAAAAAATAATCACAGAAATCACATGATGTGATTTTTTTTTTTTTTGGTTGCAGCGACACCAATACTAATTGCAGCAAAGAATGGTATCAGTGAAATGGTTAGCCAAATCCTCGATGATTTTCCTGTGGCCATATATGATACGAACCCAGAGGGAAAGAATGTGATGCTCCTAGCATTGGAAAACAGAAAACTTATGGTTTATAAGGAGTTGATGCGTCGCAATGTCACGAAAGATTTGTTACACCATAATGATAATGTCGGAAACAATGCATTGCATCATGCTGCAATGGTCAAAATTTATCCGCCCTCAGTTGCACCAAATGCTGTTCTACGAATGCAATGGGAAATCAAGTGGTACGAGGTAAACAAGTCTTACTCCAACTATTAACAAATTCAAAACTAATGGGAAAACTATTCTAGTCAATTCCTTAAAGCATACAATTATTATGAATGTACGACATAGATTTGCCTAATGTCTCTTGTAGTTTATCAAGGAACATCTGCCAAAAAGTATGTTGGCTCACCAAAATAAGGAGGGCATGACCCCGGACCAAGTTTTTATGGACACACATGCTGACCTCGTGCAAAATGATACTGACTGGCTAATGAAAACCTCAGACTCTTGCACCATTGTTGCAGCACTCATTGCAACCGTCGCCTTTGCCACATCAGCCAGTTTGCCAGGTGGCATTGGCGGAGTCCTCGGGGAACCAGTTCTGAAACGAGAGGGCATGTTTGAGGTGTTTGCCATCTCATCACTCGTGGCGCTCTGCTTTTCACTCACAGCAGTGCTCATGTTCCTTTCCATTCTCACCTCTCGACACCAAGCCATGGATTTTCATGTTTACTTACCCAGAAAGCTCCTGATAGGTTTGACGGCGCTTTTTATATCAATAGCTTCCATGTTGGTATCCTTCTGCGGTGGACATTTCTTTGTCCTTAGAAACATAATCAAACGAGCACAGGTTGTTGAATATTTAGTGGGGTTTCTACCCGTCATGTTTTTTATCATAGCACAGTGCCCACTCTACATTAGGCTTTTCTCGACTACAATATTCAAGAGAGATCCTTAGAGTGTCTTCAAGTTTGCCTATATATATATATATAAATAATTTCATGTGTGTCACGTTCTTGTTTCCCAGCTTCATCTATATCCTTTAGTTTGATAATGAAAAATCATTGTTATGACTTAATTCCCCATGCTTTGTATTAATAAATGATGTGTGTTCTCTATTGTTTTATATTTCTACAAAAGGCAGTGTCAAAAGTACTCATGTTATCAAGCACATTTCATAAAATGAATTCTACTAACTATTGCTTATTTGGCGTTTGTTAATGATCAAATAATGATAAAATAACAATGATAATAATTTTTTCTACACATTGAACATATTCTCGCACAAAGTAGACTGACCACCATCTGTGAAAAATACATACAACCCCCTAACAAAGATGTGTTAGTATTGTCCTAGTTGTAGAATACTACATAGAGGAGGGACATTATTGAACTTGGAGCTTCATTACACTTTGCGCAAAACATCCCATTCGATTAGCTATTTACTAGCATAAAGAAACATAATATGAACATGCTATGCCTTCAATCTTTATGTATTTCACAACAAACAGTACAAAAAAGAGGAAGGGAGAAAGACTCAAAAACTGAGGGCTCTCTCTCTAACTATTCAGCAGCTTGGAAAACAGTCAACAATGACAGAAAGAGATTGATGATATCCAGATACAGAGCCACAGAAGCAAAAATGTACTCATCGTAGGAATAACGCTTGATCAGGTTGTCTGTATCGTATATGATGTACCCACAAAATATGATCGATGCCAGACACCCATAGATCATAACAGAGATCTTACCCAATGGAAAGAGCACCTGCAAGAAGTGAAAGCGAGAATTGAGATTTTGAAACCCAACAACCAAGAGATGCAACCTCACCAGATCAGTGACAAAAGAAAGACACGGCAAAGACAAATCTGTATATACCTGAATCAGGGCAAAGATAATGAGCACAAATATAGCCCCAAACAAGAAAGGCCCCAGAAAGTTGAAATCATGGCCTCTCCTTGCAGCCCAAAATGTGTACAACGTGAGACTTATAACCACCGCAGCCGTTAAGATTACAGATTCCAAAATAACCTTCCCTGTTACCAAATGAAATTACACAATTTGAACAATCAAACAACCGATATAACCAACGAAAGAAATGAAATAGCCTCCACGTTTGTTACTTCTTCCAAGTCATTCAACTAATGGGAAACCAATATTTTACAATATACAAGCCAAAAAATCCAAGAAATCAAAACAATCGTAGCATGAACAAGAAAGTACCTAGAGTTTTGATAGTTGTGCTACTTTCAAAATAAGAATGAAAGATTTTACAATTAGGTGTATCACAAGGTTCAATTAAACTCCATTCCTCTGTAGTAGCCAATTGTTTCATCATGACGTAAGAGATTAATAACCACATATTTATTTTATCCTAAGATCACACCACAAGGAGAGAGAAAAAATCCTAATAAAGCAACAAGTCCATACAGTATCTGTTTTCTTGGATGATCAATTCACGCCTAGCTCAAGATTCTTAGCAAAACCTATTACCCAAGTTCTCCTATATCTGCTTCTTACATTAGAAAAAAACAATTATGTAAACTTAATTCAGGGTGTTACCAAATTGGGTTTTAATTTGGATAAACTTGAAGAACTGAGACTAAGGTTGTTTGAATTTGGACCAATTGCATATTAAAAAAAGAAAGCAAAAGATTAAGATAGATTGCTTACCATTGGTAAAAGCACAGGTCAAGCCCACTATAAAGGCAAGACTAACAGTAAACAAGCCAAGAAGAAAATAGTTGACAGGGTGTGTCTGGTGATAGTAATACAAAGGGCACAACACTGCAACCACAAAAAATCAAAACATCGAATCTCAAATATAAGCACAATTAAATTCCCAAGATTAGAACAAGTAAATTCTGATAGGGAAAAAACAAAGAAAAGAGTACCTATGAAGGGGGTGATGATGATTATGATATAGAGGGCGAGGCCAGCGCCGGTGGTGGAGAAGAAGAGAGCGACAGGGCGGACTGTGATGACGACGGCGGCGACGGCGATGGTGATGAGCAATTGGAGAGCCAAAATTGAATAAATCTTGCGAATGAAGGCCCACCGGAGCTCCGGACTCTCCAGCATCGTCGGGTACAGCGGACTCGCCTCCGCTTCCCCGTCATTTTTCCGGTAAGGCGGTGTTTGCCACATTTTCTAAACAAACAAGTTTAACCCTGTCTGTGAGAAAAAGAATCAGATAGAGAGACAGAGAGCGTGTGAATGGGATTGTCGTTTACTGGGTTTGGAGGTTTGGGTCGCTTAATGGATGAAAAGGGTGAGGGTGTGGGGGATTAATTAAAGATGGAAGTTGTTCGGTGCTTGAAACTTCTTGATTCGTCTCCACGCGTGAGGAACACGTGCCTAAATATTTTCATAAACTTGTATTGTATGTCTCCACCTATAACCAATGCCCCCACTACCCCCACCAGCAAACTGTATTTTCTGATAATGTTCTTTCTTACACTTTCTAGTTCTTTCTCACCTCTTCATTCACCTCTTCTTGATCTTACTAGAGTTTCTCTCTTTCTTTTGTTTTCTTTTCCTGAATTCTTTTTGTTTTGAGGATGGAACAATGAAAGTAATGACTCCATGAGAAGTTATTTGGTGTGTTTAAGACATGATTATGTGATGCTTCAAATGTGTTTTGATTGGTAAACAATATGAGATACACAATTTTATACTAAATGAGTAGCAACTGTACGGGGAGCAAATATTCAGGCAAGCCCGTACTCCTTTCTTCCAAGCTCTCTGTCTGTCTGATCGACCTGCGAGCACAACGGCGGTGAGCTACCCGACAGTGTGTGGTCGAAAAACCCCTCTGACGGTCAAGTTAGCACACACTCAGGTAGAGAGAGAGAAAGGAGAGTTAAGTGTTTAGTGTAAATCTCACCAAATGTTCATCTGCCTCAGCGTGGGGGGCGCAGACTCGCTTATATACCTTCTGCGCCTCAAATCTACTCCCATTAGTCTTTCGACACGTGGTGCTGCTATCCTATCTGTCAGTACAAATCTAGCTGAACATCACCTAACTGCCAGCCCACACCACTAGGAGCTCGACAGCTGGGCTGCAGCATCTCGGCTGTCAACGGTCGTGCTGCGCAGCTAGCTAGCGCTCGCCAAGCTCAATGACGACTGAGCTCGGTTGCATTCCGGCCGACGACCGAGCTCGGGATAAGTCATGCTGGTTAGCCGTCGGCCTTCCTGCCGAGCTAACGCATGAACTGTGGAACCCAGTGAGGCAGCAGACATCTCGGCCGAACCTCACTTGACCGCTAGTACGACATCAATTATGCAACTATGCCATTACCAAGCAAGTAGCTCGGTTTCGCAGCAACTGTGCCGTTACCGAGCGAAAATCCTTTCTAGATGGGCCCAGGCTGCCAAGGACCAAATGTCTTCGGCCCACAATTTGTCTGGCCCTTACCACAGCCCAATCCAAATCATAAATCTCCCTCTCAATTGCCCCTTAATTCCGTTCGTGCAAGTGTGATTGGGATTACCTGTTCTGTCCGGGATAACTCTTCCTCGGTTCACAGTCTGCTAGACGGTGACCGGGCTAGTTGACATACCTGTCTTCAAACTTGCCCGGTCGACACTTCGACTTGCCATCCTGTCTCTTCAGTACTGACGCCGTCGTCAATAGGGACACGTGTCGCTCGCTCATTGGCTTCGAACAACCAACCATTCCTTCACATTCAAATTTTTGGCGGTCTTCCTCCCATATACACGCCATTTCCTCTTCATTTCATTTTTATTGTTCCTCTTCCATCCAAGCGTTTCAGAGCTCCTGTGCCTCTTGCAAGCCTCGTTCCTGCCTTTCCTTGCATTTGTGTTCGAGGAGGAAGCTCCTGCCCTTAACAGGTAAGTCCTTCGAGCCTCCTTTTTGCTATTTTCATTTGGTATTTCATAAATTAGGGCAAAAAATCCGTAGGTTTTAGGACATAACCCTCCCAAAACCCACACTTGCCCCTGTTCTCGTCGTTGTTCTTCAATCCCAGTGATGAACACATGAACACAAGAAGAACTGGAGCGGACCGGACTCCAGGTCGCCTTTTCATCCAAAAAACCATTAGACCGAGCAATTTACAAGTTTGCCAAAACCTTAGTAGAAACCGAGGTAGACAAAGGACTTAGCCGCTTGACCGGGCTAACAACTGGTCTGCTTAAGTGACCGAACTCCTTGGTTTGCCTTCGCGACCGAGGTGGTCTGGCACTCTTCATGACCGAGCTAAAGTCAAGCTCGTTTTGTGTGACCGCGCTTCCATTTACACTTGCCATCCTTTTCCTGCAGAGTCCAAGGGGACCACTGACCAATTACCGAGGCTCTCAAAGACTGAGCAGCCATTAAACACCAGTCTGTGCCAAACCACCTCAGCCGAGCTAAACCAGCCAGCTACACATGGGGCGCTTCCGCTTCTTTGTTGATACTCCAGCTGCCCTGGCCGCGTTCCAGGAAGAGTACGGTATCCCGGCCGACGTCCACCTAGAGCTCGGAGAAATTGAGACAACCTTTTGGGGCAGATTAGACCAATGCCCCTTCACCGTGCTTTCAGGCTCTCAAAGACTGAGCAGCCATTAAACACCAGTCTGTGCCAAACCACCTCAGCCGAGCTAAACCAGCCAGCTACACATGGGGCGCTTCTACTTCCTTGTTGATACTCTGGCTGCCCTGGCCGCGTTCCAGGAAGAGTACGGTATCCCGGCCGACGTCCACCTAGAGCTCGGCGAAATTGAGACAACCCCTTGGGGCAGATTAGACCAATGCCCCTTCACCGTGCTTTCCATCATTGAAGGAGGTCTCCGCTTCCCGGTCAACCCACTGATGACCGAATTCTTGCGCCGCACCGGGCTAGCACCCACTCAAGTCTCAACCAACACTTACCGAATAATCAACGGGGTCCACGAGTTGAACAACCGGCTAGGAACCAACTTAGGTTTAGCCGAGATACTCCATCAATACGCCCCTGGGCACACGGGCAACGACTTCACCTATTACTTAAAAATTCGACCGGACAAAGAAAAAATAGTGACCAGCACGCCAGACAAGGACTTACACGACGATGACTTTTTCTAGGTATCTGGCAACTATGAAACGGCCGACGTACCGGGTTGGTTTATCAGCAAGAACTTCGGCGAGACATGTAAGCCGTGCTAACTGCTCGGTCAATTTATCTTTCTTCACTATTCTATACTTG